GTTGAAAGCGGACGGTTTCGCACGTGGAACTCTTAATCCCCCAGACTTCTCCCAAACCCATCGACGCCATTTCGTCCTCACTATTTGGCGTGCATTCGTCACAAAGGTCAACAGGTCCCCCGTAAGATGGCAAGCCTACTCAAGCAGCCGCACCTTCCTTGCGAAATCGTGATCGACATTCTTGCCAAGGTGAAATTCAACTCACAAGCTATTCAGTTTTGCCGATCGTCACAATCCTGTCAAACTGGCTAACACTGTCAAATCACCGTTTACGAACCATCGTACAGGGTTTCGAAGTGACTTCAATCCAGAAACAGGCCGGTCGTTACCTTCGCATGCTAGCGTCGGTATGCCAAAGTTGGCGTACGTACAGTTTGCGTTTGACGGAGGGAAACACGATGGACTTGGTCAGGTTATTGGATGGAAATCTGCAGAATAACGAATGGATCAACAGGTCATGGGTATGTGATTTTACCGTACCGGATTTCGGTCACGTGATAGCATGCAGCCTGCTGCCTGAGCGTTTTTGACTCATCCTTTCACATTTTCCATCCAGGACGATGGATACACCATTTTCACGCAAGACAAAGAACAACTATCTTGCCTACGGAAGATTGAGTACCCTGTTCAACATACCCTGTTCACCCCAACAAACATGCTCTCATCTCCCTCGACGTATTCGGACGGCTTTTGCGAAAGCGGTCGCCCGAGACCTTGACGTCCCTCACAATAAGCGGAGCGGCATTGTCACCTCTAGTCATCACATCCCTCCACAGCTTCTGGTCAACACTGGTCGCGGGCGAACTAGAATTAGAAGAACTTCACTGGGTGCAAAATACCTGGGAGTTTGCGGATGATCGTGAGACTCTGCCAGTGGCCCTCAACCAACTGGCCATGAACCTATCTCGATTGAAACCTTCACTTAAGAAACTGCACCTGGGGTTCAAAGCAGAATACAACATCAAGTTTTTCCTTTGGCAGCCCTGGCCCCGCCTTTGCGAGCTGGAAATACCCTTCCCCCAACAGATAGACCTTGATGACATACACGACGCCACGGCCTCTGCATTATCATCCCTCAACATTACCTGCCCTAGCTATGGTCTGGAAAGGTTCACGTCTTTGGAGCATCTGAGCTTCAGCCGCGTATGGGGGGAGGACACCGATATAATTTCTACGATCCCACTGATCACGGCAGCAAACATGAAGACTCTCCACATGTCCTTTCCGTCCCTTCCCGCTTTGTCTGTCTTGCAAAACTTTTCGAATATGGAGTCTATCACGTTACGCACACGCCAGTTGAGCATGGACAATTTTCAGTTTCTGCTTTCTTCGGTTGGGAAGGGTGGGCGGTTGCGGAGGGTGGATGTAGCGGATCTCAGACAGTTTCATACAGCGGATTTTGTTCATCTGTTAAGGGACTGCGATGTGTTGGGGCGGTTAGAGTACTTGAAGATTCATGTGAAGGATGCATATGATGAGGAGAGGTCGGGTTTGAGGGAGGTGCCTGCTGGGAAGGCTGGACTGAGGTGGGGGAAAGAGGTTGTAGACACTGTTGTGTCGGCCGGGGTGCTGCCTCTTCGATGTGTATTTGACGTGTCCAGCTCCTTCTATCATGTCATAATAGGCAGATTGAATGGATGGTGACAAGGGAAAGTGAATCCGTGCTTGTATCAATTGAGATAATATGAAAAGATATTCTCGTATTTGCAGTTGGCAATGGCCTTGCTGCGGACGTCGAACTCAATTGCAAACGTCTCCCATTGCAATGTGTGCTTCAATCTGAAATGCATCAATGGAAGACACTGGCTTTGACTGACAAGTGTGGGAAACGGGGTGCGTTTTTCGATGGACATTGATCGAACTTGCTCCGCTGCTTTCAGTTATTACCAAAGCCACCTACAAGCATGACGCACATCCCACATGTCATTGATTGGACCCAAGACAGCAAAAAGTGGCGAGCATATAAGTAGTGCGTGCGAGCTCTCGAAACTATTACAATCAATAAGACTAAGTTGACACCCCAACCACTTTCCGCAACAATGTTCAACGATAACATATCCCACGCCATGCCAACGCCTTTTAATACCGCCGTAACTGCATCCCAGTCAAAACTTCCACTTTCCCCTGAAATTCTCCATATCATACTAGTGGACCTAGTCGGTGAATACCTTTTCGAAGGCGTGCGGACGGCGGAATTCAGAGAGCTCCTCCTCGTCACCCGGCAATTTTGGGACACCCTTCGCCCAATTCGCAAACGTATGATGCTGGTTCAAGCGGCTTATATTAGAGGACTTATCAAGTACGTTAAAGAAAAGCTGCGGACTTGATTGTAGATAAATCCTTCATATTTTTGTTTGCAACAAGAACGATCAGCATCCTCGACTACCCACAACAGAAGTCCCCATCGACATGTTCTTCCCCCACCTGCCAATTTTTAAAAAATGCATTCATTCTGGCCGCGCTACTGCCACGTCTCTCCACCATAGACCTCCTGCGCATCTTCGTCCATTACGCTCCAAACCTCTTTTACACCTCCACCGCAGATCCCGTCAAATTTGATGGAACGAACGGGTGGGCTAGTTCTACTTCGGTCTGGACTCCACCCGTCGATTCATTTGATATGGCGCAAAAGATAAGGATTCTGAAAATTCCAAAGGTGGTTAGAAGTGGGAAAGTAAGCACGATGCAATGGAAGTTTGCGGCTGTGTTGTGGTATGAGGAGTGGCAGGAGGAGGAATCCGATGGAGAGAATGGAAGTGGATGGGAGGTGGATGGTCCTCAAGCATGGGAGGGGCCAGTGGAGTTGATGCTTGGGGAGATCACGGATGGGGACGCATCTAACGGCTTGGAGGCGTTCGAGGAGGCACATTGTAGTGTGGACGAGGAGGATGGCGAATCAGACTATGATGACATATCTGGCAAGGATCTGAATCGCAGATGGGAGGTGTTTTAGTAGATAGCGACGGCGGATGCTATAAGTTGTAGTTTCATTTCAGGATCATTTTGTGCTCCGTCATCCCTGTGGAAGGAGATTCATGGATCCTTGAACTTGATAACAATACGCCATTCCATGGGCTAGCCAGTGCAGAACATCTGTATTGAAATTGCTTGAAAATTCGTGTTGGGCATCATTGTTGGGTAAAATTGCGGCATCTTGTGCAAACGGGATGCGTGCAACAGACACAATGTTTCAGGTCTGTGAACCACGCGAGGCGGGATCAAAAGACCATGTGACTTGAGGTATCCCTAGTCAACAATTCCTGCATTGCATGAATATACAGGCATCGGACAAGTGTGTTTCAGGTCATGCTCGCTTCAAAGCAGACTTGGGTCCCAAAAGAAGGTTGGACATTCCCGCTTGTGAGGCTTGCTAATCGCAAAACACAGGGCGGGCCATCACCTATCCCGCATGCGTAGGAAGTCAATCCTTTCACAATCCGCAAACTTCATCATAGATCCTAGGTCTATCAAGCTTCAATACTCAAATTCCTCACCATAGGTAGCGCGATGTCCGCACCAACGTCCACTATCGGAACACCGTCTTCAAAGCTGCCACTTCCTCCGGAAATCATGCACACTGTACTGGTGAACCTAGTAGGCGATTACCTGCTCGAAAGCCTCCGTACAGCAAAATTCAAACGCCCCCTCCTCGTCAACCGTCAATTTGCCACCGTGATCCGCCCAGTACGTAAGCCGCTAATGCTTGCTCAGGCCGCCTACTGCAGGGGAGTGTTCAGGTAAGAAGGGATGGCTGCACTCGCTTTCAGCCACGACCACACGGTGCATCCAATGGACTGACGCACGCCGCTCCGTACGCGCAGCGCAATAAGATCTTCGGAAACCTTGGACGTCAACCTGTTCGAATACTTCCCCAAGACCTCTGTCCTTCCAAACCCGTTCATCCCCGCTCACGGAATCCTCCAATACCTACTTGAAATTGATGTCGAAGAATTCCTCTTGAACTGGGTGCCCACCCTCAATTTCATTTCAACATCCGCTCCGAAAAAATGGAAAGGAGAAAACGGGCGGACTACGTCCACATTGGTGTGGACACCGCCCAATGACAGCTTCCGGATGTCGAAAAAGATGACGGTTTTGAAAGATCCGTGGGTTATCAAGGAAGACAAATTGAGTGCCCTTCCCTACGACTTTGCTCTTGTTTTGTGGTACAAGAGCTGGCGGCGGGATTGGATCGATGAAGGGGAGTCACATTGGAGCCGTCAAGATGAGTTGTTGAAGAAGGCGTTAGGTAAATTGGAAACTGTGGAAGACCTCGAACTTCAGAGTCTGGATGACTTGGAGCAATGTGACGCAGATGAGGAATGGGAGGATGATAGTGGGCACGACGGGTCCATTGATTGGAAGACGTCAAAATATCGCAGGAGGTGGCAATGGGAGATCTTTCTTCTGGATGATAGCAGATGCGTTAGCAGATTGTAATTTGTTGGGAGGTGTATTGGCAAGCGGGGTGCTGTAGCTCATTGATATCCAATCAGATTCAGGGAGTTCAGCATGTGGTAGCATGGGGTGGGCAGCAGTAAATGTTTGATTTTCAAGATTCGCAAAATACAGAACTGAGGTATTAATTGAAGAAGAACTTGATAAGTAGCTTACAGTTAATCACTTTAAATGTGCGCTTGCTGCTGCGGAATAATCTAAGTAATTCTGATGAATGCATAGAAGGATGACGTGGCCCCAGCATGCGCAAAGTCGGCAGCATATGAATGCAAACTTGATCTTGCTTTGAATCTGTCATACACGACTTGGGTGGAAGAGATACTTGTGCTGAGTAGCAGCCGTGATTGTTCTTGATTGACACGGACTCAATTTACCCCACATCTTAACAACATCAAAGGCGCAAGGGACTCGATGCTCGCAGTGGCAAGCGATCAGAAGCTTCCATCAAAGGACTCAAAGGCACCCGCACCATCTGGTTGAAATCCGATTTTGGGCTCATAGAAATCTCATCCATATGATGGCAATGGCAAGAAAAAAAAATATGGCCTGACCCGGATTCGAACCGGGGATTACTATCAGCTAGATAATGAGACCGAAGCCCCGCCATTAAGCAGAAGGTAATGTACCAATCATACTATCAGGCCGAATTGAAAATCTTAACGCGTGCGCAGTTAATGACCTTCAAACACCGCCCCTGCTGGTGACTTTGCCACGAAATGCGTCCGTGCCTCATGTTGGCTTAGCCAAGCCATCTCAATAAATCCCGCAAAAGGGTATACCTTCCACGTCTGCGCTGTACGACCCTTGCGGCTTTGTGGGCACAAATTGGATGAAGGGTTCTCCTTCATTGATTGTTGGGCGAGGTTTTCCCTTGATGATGAGGAAATTTCATAAATGGGCAACCACGAGGTTTGCAACCTGTCAAACAAAGGGAAACTTTGAACAAAGAAATCTTTGCTATCGATGTCCCGACATCGTCTGGGCGTTGCGAGAGATGAGGGATGCCCAGATGAAAGCCTGGAATCGATGCGCGTCTCCGCCTCGGTCCGTCGTCCTATTCTTACGCTGACAATGTGCTTGCTCGCTGCCGGGACCGTTCTGGTTTTTTGCACTGAGGGCTGTGCGATGTGGCAAGGCGTTAGCGGGGATGGGCGGGGAGATCAAGGGATGGAACAAAGGATTCCGTCGGGATATGTTGTGAAGCATCTTTTACATCCGCTGGTCAAAGATGACGGGCGACAAAGGCAGTAAGGGCAAGCAAGGGATTGAAAGATCATTCTGATGTTGGGGGCGGCGGCACGTTAGGGACTGCCCTTCATATATAGTTTGGCGGAGTGTTGCCATGTTATTGTCCCTTGACAGTCTTGAAGGGACGTTCACGCCAACCATATGTAATGCCAACGATACGCTTGATGGTTTCAACTTCCCAGATGTGATGGCCGCACTGATAAGTGAGCCTAGCCATCCCTTCATCTGCCTTCGTCAAGTCGGAGCAACAGAAGCAACTCCAACAAGTTGGAGTCAAAATGAAGTCCGAGAGGAACCCAGAACCCACAGAACCGGGCTGTACCACCCTGTGTTCCCAGCTTCATGCGCCTCACCCCGCCTCGGCGTCCAACTTCCCTTGTTCACAATGCGTTCTTGTCCCACGCTGACAGAGATCAAGGGCGGTTTCAAGGCTCAGACATTAGAGAAGGAACCAGAGGATCCATCATCAAGGAGAATGGGTTGAACACTCAAATTGTCAATTGGAGGCATGGAACCTTTTGCGCGCGCAACACTTGCTTGCAGACACTTCCCTTCAGGTTTTTCCTTCCCTTCGGGTGAGCATTGTGTTGGTGTCAACCTTGGTGTGGTGACCGGTTGTTGCCTCCTATCCGAGTCCCGTCGACTGCCGGCTGCTAGTTACATATAGTTTTGTAGTATATCTTCTTTTTTAATCTTTTACTTTTTCTATAGTTGGTTTTTGGGAAAGAGACACCCGTCCCAGGAATATCTTGACACGGAAGCTTGTTTTCATCCTGGCTTTTTTCATTTATGCGGGTCACGCCTCGCCTCTCCCCGGCTGCAGTGTCATATTAGCGATCGATAATCCAACAACGTAACGTGCCAGACTGCGCTCTCGTCAAATCTACGCTTGGGAGGAGCCAGCAAGCAGCAGGGTCGTCGATAGTCGGTCTTCTGAGCCTTGGAACGTGCTTTCTCGACCTGCATAATAGTCTTTCACACGTCGAGTCACGCACCCCCTCTCCTCATATTAACTATCATACATAATATAATACAAACGAGACGCGCGACTGGCAAAACGGGGTGCTTCCTCAACACCCTCAAATACTTTCCCACACTACGTCACGCTGCCTACAAACCCGCGCTTGACGCCTCCATATTTCATTTCCGGCTGCAGATCGCATATCCTTAGCCCCCCGTTTTCGGTGCTGCACCCCCTTTCCCGTCAACAGCCGTGAGAGACCCTACTCCGAAGACCCTTACCATACCACACCACGCTACACGTGCATAACACAGACCAGCAGAGTTTCTTCTCGGATCCAGTCTGGCGCATGAAAGCTTCACAAACGTTTAATGGAAGTTTCCTATTCATATTCAAACTTTTGGACCGATTCTGAGGAAACTACCGTACCAACAACTGCTGCAACTGTGAAGCTGCTGCCTGCTGCTGCTGCAACCCGTGCTTTTCTATGTATTCATCAACAACGCACTCGACTGCAACTGACACTAGCACGGAAGCAGGAGACACTGCACTAGCCTCAGAAGACGAACCATCTGAATCTATAGCACTATCGACAACATCATCATCATCACCAAGGTCCGTAACAACCAGACCAACGATTTTAATATCCCGAAATAATTATCAACCGACGTCTTCACCACCACATCATCATCTCGGGTTTGCTGGGAAAGTGAAAACCGGCACTTGGATTTCATCTTGAAGATTAATTCCCTTGTGGTGTGGGGTCAGGAGGGGGGAAGAAGAAGGGACGCGATAGTTTTTATTCTGAGGGTGTGGGAAGAAGGAAGTAACGTTTTTTGTGTGTGTCAAAAATCCTTTACCGATTCTTTGACACGATCGCGGACCCGTAAATTTGGGAGGTCAGATCCCAGATCCACGCATCCGGTGTTTTGGTAGGGAACCATCATCATCATTGCTGAGTGAGTGTGAGTGTGAGTGAGTGTGATTTACCTGTCAGGTTTGTTGAATCGTTTACATCTTTGATCCGCGCCTCCTCGTTCGGCCCGTGCCTCCCTCCGTAGGGTCTTGGCTCACCATCTGGCATCCATCTCCATCTGATTGACCTTTACCTGACTGTCCCCCCCATCCCACACATGATTCCAGACGTTCCATCTAAACCCTGACGTCGTCATACCACCGCGCACATCACCCGACCCCACGCTTCAGACTATCCGCGCCTCCCTCTTGGGAAACGAAACCTCCATCCGATACGCAACCCCCCTTTCACCCTCTCTCTCTCTCATCTACACACCCGCAACACAATACTTCGCGTGTTTGTTAGTGGGACACTCTTCTTTCATACTATAATAATACACCAACAACTAAACTATACAATAATATCGGCAGTGGATTTGTTTGTTTGCTGTCATCCCTTTCCCACGATTTCGGATCGAGACACCCAAGCCCGGACGGACACCCCCCCCATTACTCAGTGACGGACGGACAGACCCTTAATCGAGCATCCCAACGCCCGCGAAACCAATACGCCCGCCCATCCTTCCATCATACCCCTTCCTCCTCCTTCCCATTCACTTCACACACACGACATCATCATCACCATCATCAATCATATGCGGCTGGTCCGCTTCGTGCCCTCGATCAAATTCAATATCATCCACTACCATCCCCATCCTGTGGTCACCTTGAACGCATAACGGTCACAGGCACCCAAACCCACCGCTTCTTCACCCAATCCAATCCAACCCAATCCACGGGGCGAAGGTTGTTAACTGCGCGCATTCCCACACTTACATACGACGCGTATTCCTCCGATTCACTCGTCGCCCTTACCTACCCCGCCTTCGTCCCCGCTTCTCTTTTCCCACGGTACGCTTACAAGGTGCACGTCCCGCACCCGTAGAGTTTTGGAAACCAGTGAGAGCGCTTTTTGTAGGTGTCCCGTTTGTGAGTGTTTGTGGGAATGTCGGGTGGGAATGCCGCAGGAGTCGGCGAAATCTCTGTGAGAGCTGGTGTATATTGAAACGGTCACACGTCACGAGGGGTCCATGGGTTCAGGGAACGTGCCAATAACATATGAAGGGATATGGTTTGAGACAGTTCGCAATCTCTTCTCTAACGCCTTTCCCCCGCACTTGCAGGTGGTTCCTTCACCAACCCCATCGTCATACTTCATACTCTCCCTTTTCTAAACTGCGTCTTTTGGTATGTTGTTGCCTCTCGCAATGGCTGTGAGATTCTGTTGGGGGGTGGGAGGGAGGTTGACGCGTGGGAAAGTGGACGCGTCAAACGCAGTATACTGTAGAAGTGTGGGAAAGTGTGTCGTGCTGGTTTTTCCCTCTGGCAATGTTACTAACCAACTCTTCCCATCTCTTTCCCTTCGTTCACATGGGTCCTCCTTCCTACATCCTCTTCATATTACCTGTCCTTCTCCTCGCCGTCGCTTGCATTCGTATCCTTCGCATCGTTCCACCTTCCCCCTTCGTTATGCGATGGCGATCCAGACGCAACATATTATCAGAAGCCTCATCGTATCCTTCTTTTCACCCTTCCAACGTCCTTGCGTACGTTCGTTCCTTCGTCCGCCATATCATAAGCGGCATCCGAGTTGCTTTCCGTCGTCCCACATACTTCCATCGTCACCGACACGTTCCCACCACCCGATCGCGGGTTCGCATCATGTCCAACCGAAAGAAAAATCTTGTGCAACCGATGATGGGGCTCATGGACAACACAGCGGCAGGCAAAGCGCCGACAACTCAAGCAAACGCATCGAACAGGGACAACAACAACGTCATCAATGGCATCCGGATCAGCAACGAGGCTGATGCAACAAAGGTCATCACGGTTTTGGGCAATGATGGGAAGAGTGGGGAGCCGGTGGATCTCTCATACACCAACTACAAAGTGATTGGGAATGGGTCTTTTGGGGTCGTGTTCCAGGCAAAGATCATTGACACGGGAGAGTACGGAGCAATCAAGAAAGTTTTGCAGGACAAGAGATTCAAGGTAAGAACTAGCTCGCATATGCAGTGGTCAAAGTATATAGCATCCTCATTCACATCTTTCTTCATTCAGAACCGCGAGCTACAGATCATGCGCCTCGTATCACATCCCAACATCGTCGCCCTCAAGTACTTCTTCTACTCCAACGGCGAGAAGAGAGACGAAGTGTTCCTCAACCTGGTCCTCGAATTCGTACCCGAAACCATCTACCGCGCGTCCCGGCACTATGCAAAGATGAAGCAACCCATGCCAATGATCTCAATAAAAGTATGCATTCTTCACACTCGAAATATGCAATATTATGTTACTAAATGATCATATCTTTCCAAAAGTTGTACATGTACCAACTCTTCCGATCGCTCGCATACATCCACTCACTGGGCATCTGCCACAGAGACATCAAGCCGCAGAACTTGGTGAGTAATCGTTCAT